CATGTATCTGCATACGTGTATATATATATATGTAAAGGGAGGGACAGAGGCAGAAAAACATAGTGAGGGAGGAGAGGGGGAGAGAGAGAGAGAGAGACAACATTCTCAGAAATGAATACTCGTACGTATGTGTGTAAACATATAGAGTGGGATATGTAAAGAGAGAGAGAGATATAACAAACATACTACACAGAGAGAGAAAGATAACATTACTGATAACGAGACAGAGAGAGAGAGTGAGAGAGAGAGAAATATCAAAACATGTGAAGAGACATATATATATATATAGAGAGAGAGAGAGAGGGAGGGAGATAAGGAGCGTTGACCAGGCCGCCCGTATTTCCTTGGAGCACGCGCGCTCCGGCGGACGCAGCTCGCAGCCATGTCAAAACTTGCCCTCAGAGCCAGCAGAGCAAGTTCGTCAACAGGAAGTACTCGTGGGCCAGGCCACCAAGAGGGGGGCAGCCCACCTCCTTCTGCCTGATGGCCGAAGCAGGTGTGTCTGGGGTTACATAGGGTGCTTTTTGGACTCTCGTCTGACACTTCATCAGGGCATTGCTATCTTGACGCCATGTTTGTCTCTAGGCATGGCGATTGATCATGTTTCTTCAAAGTGGGGCCTTGATTTCAGGTTGCACCTAGAAGCCTGGTTTGGAAAGGAGTCCTCCTCGTTTTATGTCCCGCCCGCTTGTTCCGACCATTCGTGCCCAAGCGCGCCCGGCCGCCCGTTCTAATGTCCCGCCCGCCTTGCTTGAAAGCGCGCTCGCCCGCTTTGGTGCCCCACCCGCCCGCCTAGGTCCGCCCGCCTGCCCGAACGACCCGTCGGGTTCCGCCCGCCCGACCCGCCCGTGAGGCTCGTCCCGCCCGCTCGCTCGCCTGCTTTACAGCCCGCCCGCCTCTTTCAACGTCACCCCCCCCCAAGCCGCCCTCGCGCCGAGGCTGCCCGGGCGAGCATTTCGATGTTGTCCGCAAGAGAGGCTTCCTGGTGAGGAGCGCCAAGGATCTGAGCGGCGCGGGCCCGCCCGCCCGACCTCTGCCCGTCAGGGTCCGCCCGCGCGCCAAGCACCCCGCGATGGTCCGCCCAGCCGACGCGCCTGTGAAAGCACCTCCCGCTCGCTTACTTCACAGGCCGCCCGCCCGCTTTCCTCTCCCGCCTGCCAGGCGTACCTGCTCCGGCCAACCCGTATGCAATACGATCCTGCCGATGATGATGTTGATGCAGATGTTGATATGGATGCGGATGTTGATGCTGATGATGATGCAAATGCTAATGACTAGGATGATGGTGATGATGATGATGGTGATGATGGTGATGATGATGATGACAGTAGTGGTGGTGGCGATGATGATGCTGCTAATGCTGATTATGATGATCATGATGATGATGATGATGAGGATGATGATGATGATGATGATGATGATGATGATGATACTGTTGATGATGCTGATGCTGGGGATGATGATGATGATGGTGCTGGCGAAGGCGAGGGTGAGCGTGATAGCCATGGTCATGGTGATGATGATGAAGCTGATGGTGGTGGTGATGATGATGCTGATGTGAGTGTTGCTGACGATGGTGTTGATGATGGTTTTTATGGTGAAGATGATGTTGATGTTAGTGCTGGTACTGCTGCAGATGCCGATGTTGAATATGATGCTGAATGTGTGGTTGATGATGATGCTGATGATGCCGATGCTGCTGATGATCATGGCGGTGGTGATGATGATGTTAATGTGGATGTTGTTGCTGATCATGACAATGGTGATGATGTTGATGTTGATGACGAGGCTGATGCCGAGGCCGAGGCCGATACCGAAAAAGAACAGCATGAAGGTGGATAGGGTGACAAGGATGATGATGGGGAGGATGATGCTGTGAATGCGCAGAATGGGGGAGGCGGAGCCGTGGATGAGGATAACCAGGAGGCAGAAGAGGATGAGGATGATATTGAATGTTGGCCATGCTTATAACGAGCAGGCGATCATGCGAGAGAGCCTGAGGCGGAGGGGATCGATTCTTCCAGCCATGATGAGGAGCATGAGGAGGAGAGGTTGACTTTTCACGCACATATAGCACTTAGCAGGACGCTCGCATCAACGTACCAGGCAGTAGCAAAGTGTGGTGTTTGTGATGTTGCTGCTGCTGCTGCTGCTTATGTTGATGCTTGTTATGTTTGTGGCGGGCGGCTGTTTGTTCACCGAGGCAGTGCGAGAAGGGGAGAGGACAATAGGTACATGCTCGGGAATTGTGAGCCGCTGGCCAGGCTTCATATGGTGGCCAAGATTCCGCCAAACTTGCCGGGATCCCCGGCATTCTTCGCAGCATACTTGCAGGAGTGATGCCCTAGAAGACAAGGTATGCGTGGCAAAGCCATCATCAGACCGTTTTGCAGGGTTGATTTTTGCCTGCGTCGTAGCTTTAGGCTTGGTGCTTCTTTTTACAAGCGGTGCAGTCAGCGCTACTAGAATATCAGTCGAGTATTCTCGCTGATGCCCGCATTGGCAGCGTCCTATACGGATTTGCCTGTGCACTGAAGTAGCGCATATCATCCGCTTAGGATTAGATCTGCATTTGGGCATGCCACACTGGTGCGAGGCATCATCTCGAGCCATTTTTTCTATGTCTGTGGTATGCGAAGGCTTCCGGCACGCCGCTGGACCCAATGCTTTGCAGTTTGACGCAGTTCCAAGTTGTTGATTTGGGGGCGATGGGCTCGATCAGTCGAGCGATCCCAGCACATAGAGGGCCTGGGCAACTGGAAGGATATTCGAGCCATCCCTACCGAATTCGTTAATTTGGGGATCGGCTTCGTGACGACTGTTTTCACATCCTTGCTCTGAGCTCTATGCGAATGTGGGCTTGGTCGACTGTGCACTGTGGCTCATGCTATTCTTTGTCGTATGCGGTCCAGTGGGGTATGCAGGCACAGGATGATTCCTTCAAGCTTTCTCCTCCTCCTGTTTCTTTCTCCTGCTCCTCCACCTGGAGGTTGAGGGGCTGGAATACGGGAGGGAGCAGTATGAGTATGAGGAGTTTCGGGGTTTCTGTGGTGGTTATCGGAGGCGATCATGGGGCCACCTTGAAAGTCTTTTCCTGGTCTGGTGGGGACCTTCCGGGCGTCTTGGTGCCGTCTTCGAGCTCTCCCGAGGTGGCCTGGTGGAGCCGTTTTGTTGCCGCTGCTGCAGCTGACTTGGGGCAGTCGCAGGTCGTCTTGGACGGTTCTTGAGTCGTGCCGGGCCACGTTGGAGGCTTGTTAGGGCCTCCAGGCCGCTTTCTGCAATTCACCTTCTAAGTTTGTTTAAGGATGGTTTAAGAGGCTCGTAAGAGTTTTTTAGACGGTTTAAGGGGCCCCCGAGACGGCCCAATAGAGCTCCCAGAGGGGCCGAAGATATGTCCCAGAGAGGCCCCAGAGGGGGAACACGAATCGACATTCCGAGCCCTTCGCCCAAAAATGAACTTTGAGACCACCAGCAGGCCCCGAAGAGGCCCCCCACAAGCTCCAGGAGGTCCCCAAGAGGTCCAAATCGGGCCCCGAGGGGCTCCCAATACATCCCAATACGCAATCCGGAGGCTTCGGAGAAGCCTCCCTAAAGATCCCCAGCGGCATCCCAGAGGCCACTTCTGACCTACAAGCCAGGCACGGTGGCCAGATGGACCGAGGCCACTATCCACTTTGTAATACGACACCCATCGGGTTGGATGTATATTCGGGCTCCTTGGGCGAAGCACCGCCGTCTCCCTGTAGGTGTGTGGCTCAAGCGGTTGAGGAGTCAGGGGGAGTGGGCGTCTTCCCCCTGGCCAGACCCAGCCCCCTAGCGAGCTCCGTGGGGTGGAGGCGAACTCAAACACCTTCCGCCTTTTCCGAGCGGCGTTGCCCGCCGGAGGCGCCAGTCATGTCGGCTGCTTGTGCTCGCGTCCTTTTCGGCGCCCATCGGATGTTTCCGCCTTCCCGTGCAGCGCGGTGACGGCAAGAATGCGGGTACGATGATGGGCGTCGCCAAGAGAATGATGGCGAGCCGCCCTGGGGGGGCGGCCAATGGGCCTGAGTCCTGCGGCGGTGGTGACCGTATCTGAGCTGGTGGTTCAATCAGCGTATCACTGTGCGAGAGAAGTTCATCATGCACGTCTGTGCTGGCCCCATGTCAACATGCGCGCACCGTGCGTTTCGCAGCAGCCAGCGCGTCATGCGCGCGGGAGTTCCGTTGAAGTCGTTGGCCGCCGATGCCGCCGAGACGCGCACGCCGCTGCTGCAAATACAATGGGCTGCCCAGAGTTGCCGGCTGACGTGGCTGCCGCGACGCTCGAGGAGGAGGGCGAGCCCGTGACCGCGCCCCCGCCGCTGGGCGACGTGATCCGGGGTGGCCCGACGAAGCGCCCCGCGGCTGCTGAGCCGGCGGCGGCGGCTATCAGGGACGAGGAAAATGATGACCACGTCGCGGTGTTCGAGGAGGTCGAGAGAGAGAGAGAGAGAGAAAGAGAAAAAAAGGGAGAGAGAGAGAGAGAGAAAGAGAGAAAGAGAGAGAGAGAGAGAAATAAGGAAAGAGAGAGAGAGGGCCAGACAAAAAACTGTTGTCCTTGGCCAGCAACGCATTCGCAGAAGCAATAGATGGAAGCAAGGATGATTACCAGGCCCGCGTCGACACGCTGCGGGCGAAGTGGGATCGCGTCCGACGCCGCCGCGGGTCCGCGGAGGCGTCGCCTGCAAAGGCGGCGAGTGATAAGATTCAGCTCGGCGACGCGGCGCAAGCGCGCCCAGCAGGACAGACACCGGGGCCGCCGCGCCTGCCGAGGGCGCCGCGCGCGAGGAGACAGCTGACAAAACCATCCGTCGCACATTGGGTTCCAATCTCAAGAATGGGAATGACGACGACGAATCTTTGGACAGCGAAGAGGAGCGAGCCCCTGGAGCTCGACCTGCGGCGGCTCGCGGGCTTGCTTATAAGAAGATCGCCCAGGTGTTTCCTGGCCGGTTGTCCCAGACCGAGATGGAGGGGGGGACATGGCCAGGGCCTTGGCCGATGGCGATGCTGGTACCTCGACGGGTAGCTTCGCGCCCGTGGCGGCGAAATTGCCGCGGGCGGGGATCGGAGAAGAACGGTTTCGTGAGTTGCGCGCGCTGACGGCAGCGGCTGGCCCTATCCCAGTTGGCAAGGCGATTCACGCGCTGCATTACCTCGCCCGCCGCATCAAGGCGCTGCAGAAAACGATGCGATGTGGGCGTTCACGAACGGCGAAGTGGCTCGAGCTCATCCCTCCCGACAGCGGGGGCCGCTGTCTTTCAGTGGGGGACGAGGAGCCGGCGTCGGGTACCGAGGCGCGGCGACAATGACAACATGGCCGCCGTGCTTACACGTAGGCCTAGACGACGGGCGTCGACGAGGCGGCGACGGGGCGGCAACGGCGACAACATAGCCAGCAAACCGACATCTAGGCCCAGACGACGGGCGGCGACGAGGCGGCGACGGCGACTACGTGGCCGTCAGACCGACATGCCAGGGGACGGCGACGGCGACAACAGAATCGCCAGGCCGGCATCCAGGTCAGTCCCTTTCAGCAAAGAAGTAAGAACCCCTAGGCAGGTGCAAGCACTGCATCGGGAATACATCATATGAATAAATAAGCCCCCCTCCTTTGTCTGGGCCAGCCCACCCCGCGGCCATCGGAGGAAGCCCGCTGATACCCCTCCGGCTCGCTCCCCAAAGGCGGCCCGGAGAGGCCAAGAGGGTGCCAAGACGAGCCAAGAGGGTTCCAAGAGGCCCCCAGGACGGTGCAAGAAGGCCCCGAGCTGCCCAGCACGGCCCCGGAGGACTTTCAGAACACTCCCGGTAGGGGCCCAAGAGGCCCAAATCATTAAATTCCGATGGGAAACGCACATTCTTAGCACGTGCGAGTGTTCAGTTTTCGCGGCATCGGCAGAGGCTCGTCATCATCGAGAGGCGCCGGCGTCATGGAGCACCTGCTTTGATCCTGTCGGTGCGCTTCAAAGCAGAAGGCGCGTCGACGCCACTGAGCACGGTGCCTTCGCATCGGCAAGGGGCGACACGGTCAAGTTCTCGACTGCCACAAACCAACATATTATTATACATCGTGGTGAGAAACAGAGGGAAACAAGGGCTTCTATTTCAAAGCCGGCCGATAAGACGGTACGACGATCAGACGATACAGCGCGATAAGACGATAAGACGATGAGACGATATAGGGCCTCGCCAGACGATAGGACGATAAGACGATATAGGGCCTCGCCAGACGAGAAGACGACAATGCGATAATACTCATCGTCTTATCGCATTTTCGTCTTACCACTCAAAGCTATAGTTATCACCCATGGGTCATAGCTATGTTGCGTGACCCGTAGTTACTCACGACGACGCCGCCAACGACGACGGCCGCGACGACAACGACGGCTATCACGACGATGACGATTCCAGCTGAAGGTGTCTCCATAATGCGGGACGCCGTCCCCATAAATAGGGATGCTCCGACAAGGCGGGGACCGTAACGACGACCGCGACGACGACCGCCGCCGCGACCACGACGATGACGACGGCCGCGATGACGACGATGACGATTCCAGTTGAAGCTGTCTCCATGAAGCGGTCGACCGCCCCCATAAACAGGGATACCCCGGCGCTGGACGGCGCCGGGGGGCGCGGGGCCTCCCTTATGATTCATTATGTGCAAGTATCGGCTGCGCGTGGCTCGCCGCGGTAGCCGCGCCTCGGGGGCGGTTTGAGCACGCGAGAGAAGCGTCAACAAGCCAGGAACAGCCGCAGCAACGCAGAAACAAGCAATCGCGGAGCACATGCGCGTGCAACGCATAGATTGCACCACATAGCTTGCATTTTATATTTTGCAACCGTAGGTTGCATCACATAAACTGAACCACGTAGATTGCACCACATGGGTTGCACCACGTAGGTTGCGCTACACATGTTATACCACGTAGACTGGTTCACGTTGACTGCTTGCGCCACGCTTGCTAATATTTTCTGGCTGTCCTGGCATTCGGGGCAGCGCCAGAACGTGTTCGCCCGGTTTTCTCATCGCCCCCATCGTCAGCACCATCGCATTCACGGCAGCGCCAGAAAATATACGGTTTGCTAAAACATATTGTTTGGGGTCCACGCCGGCTGATATTTTTTGGCTGTCCTGGCACTGAGGGAAGCGCCAGAAAATGTCCTCCCGCCTTCCTCGCGCACGCCAGGACGGCCATCAGAAAGAATCGGGCCGGCATCATCGCGGCAAGGAAAAAGCACAAGAACGCTCAGAAACACGAGGGGCACCCGGCCGCCGTGATCGACGCGGTCATGCGCGACGCGCCCCGATCGCTACCCACGCCCGGGGCGATTTTCTTGGCACTGTTCGCCATGAGGCCGTAGCCAGAAAATCTGCGACGACGTCTGCGATAGTCGGGGTCGTCGTCGGCGTCGTCGCAGTCGTCTCTGCTCTGTCGTTGCCGTCGTTGTCGTTGGCGTCGTTGTCGTCGACGCCGTCGTCGCGGATTTCCTGGCGACGGCGCCTTGGCCAGGAGCGCCGGAAGATCGCCCCTTCGGATAGAGGAATCTTCGCGGGCAGCACCGGCAACTTGAGCCACTCGTGGGCCGTTCGCGGCGCATGGCGATTGCGCGTTTGCGTGGCTTTTCGCTTGCTCGCGACACTTGTGCCGGCGTCATAATGAGGGGCGCGCCCCGACCGCCACCGGCGCCAGGGGGATTTTTTTCTCGCATTGTTCGCCGCGAGGCCGTAGCCAGAGAAATCTGCGACGACGTCGGCGACAGTCGGGGTCGGCGTCGTCGTTGTCGTCGCCGTCGTCGTCGTCGGCGCGCCGTCGCGGTCGTCGCTATCGTCGCCGTCGTTGTCGTTGCTATATATATATATATATATATATATATGTGTGCGTGTGCGTGTGCGTGTGTGCGTGCGAGTACATACAGACAAATTTAATGTGTATAGATATATTTGTCCCCCCAACCCTTCGGCGTTGGGTTGTCGTTTTGAATCGGGCACTCTAGTCTCTTGTCCTCCCGCCTCCCTCCTCTCCCTTCCTGCCTGCCCGTTATCTGGCCTCCTACCTCGCCGTCCTACCTCGCCCTCCTGCATCGGGGTCCCCTGGGGGGTTGCGAATTGCGAAACCGTCGCCATTTTCGAAGGTTGCTGGGGGTCCAGCGGAATGACGTCCTACGCGGATCCACATTAGACCTCGCAATAGTTGAGGCGTTGCGAACTGCGGAACCGTCGCCATTTTCGAGTGCTGTTGGGGTCCAGCGCGGATCCAGATTCGACCTCGCCATCCCAGGGGGTCTGCGAACTGCGAGCGTCGCCATTTTCGAGGGCTTCTGGGGGGCCCAGCGGGATGACATCCTACGCGGATCCAGGCTCGACCTCGCCATTCTGGGGTGTGTGTGGGGGTGGGGGGGGGGAGGGCGACATGCGAAATTGTCGTCACTTTCGAGGGATGCTGGCGGATCCAGCGGAAGGACGCTGTAATGTGTTCAAAATAGACCTCGCCATCCTGGGGGGGGCTTGCGACTTGCGACTTGCGAAACCGTCGCCACGTTCAAGGGCTGCTGGGGGCTCCAGCGGAAAGACATCCTACGCGGATGCAGACTAGACCTCGCCATCCTTGCGGGGGTTGCGAATTGCGAAATTGTCGCCACTTTCGAGGGCTGTTCCGGTGGGGGGGCGGAAAGGGCCCAACGGAATGATGTCTTATGCGGATTCAGGCTAAATTTCGCAATCTTTTTTGTTGCGGGGTACGAACTGCGAAGCCACTGCCACTTTAGAGGGCTGCTGGGGTGTCCGGCGGAATGACGTCCACCGCAGAATTCCGATAAAGGCCTCGCCATCTTTTGGGGGATTTGCGAATTGTGAAACCGTCGCGACTTTCGAGGGCTGCTGGGGGTGGGTGTCCCGCGATAGTTTAATGTTTCCATGTAGGTCCGTCATTCGACTCATCCTTTGTACGCATCATCGCACCCAGTGGTTTATCTAAACCGCACTGCTACTAGTATTGGGACTGCTGTTCGAGCCGTGTTCGTTATGCTGACCAGTTGTATGCGTGGTTTGTTTCCTTGTATTTTCAGCTATGGTGCGTGTTTTTTTTGTTTGTCTTAGCACTCGAGTTACTTCGATATGTTCCCTGTCCCTCCTTTTTTTTGTCAGCGCTCATTCATACTAGACCTCGCCATTTGTGGGAGGCTGCGAACCGAAAAAGTTGTCGCCGCTTTCGAGGGTTGATGAGGGGTGCTCTGAGATGGCGTCCTATGCATATTCATATTCAGCTTAGGCGCCGCTATCCTTGGGGTGCTACGGAGTACGAAACCTTCGCCAGGTTAATTGGGGGGGTCCAGCGGAACGACGTCCTACGACGGTTCAGACTAGACCTCCCCATCCCGGGGGGTGGGGGTTGCGAACTGCGAAGCGGTCGCCAGTCTCGAATGTTGGTGGATTGTCCAGCGGAATGGCGTTCTACTCCGATTCAGAGTCGTTTTGCGTTCTTTCTCCGCGGGCCGCCCGAAAACTCGGTGGCGCGCCAGCGGGCGCAGAGCTCCCGCATTGCAGGGCGCAGCAAGGAAGCGGGGAGCTTGGTGGGCGAAATCGGCCTCGCATGTTCCTGGCACGGGCGATCGGCAGCTGATCCTTTGAAGCGTCAGAGCGACATGGCGCATGCCGCGATGCTTGTCCAGCGTGCCAGTGGGGAATGATAGCCGCCCTCCTTCCTCATCCTGCCTCTTCCGTTGTCGTCCTCTTCCTCCTCCTACCGTCTCCCTGCTGCTGTCGCGTTGACGTTTCGCCCCCTCGTCTGTCGCGTTCTTGCCCGTCGTTCTCACACCCAATTTTTGTTGAAGAGCCTGGGGCTTCATTATCGTCATTATGCTGCTGTCTTGTGAGTCGTGCGCTGCGCGCTCGATTGTCATATAGCTTGCACAAGCCAATGTCAGAACCTCTGCTGCCAGCAGCCATACTATTCTGGGCCAGTTCCTCTTGTGTCTTAGTGCAGACAGGTCAGGTACGTCGCAGGGCTCTTACATCTACGTGTCCATGTCCACGGTGACCGGGTTGAAGGCCGGAGGCCTCCGGGATGACTTTGGGGATCTCTTCGGGGGCCTCGTCCGGGAACCTACCGGACTCGGTCATGGGGCGTCTGGGAGGGCCTTTGGGGGGCCTCCTGGAGGTTGTGGGGCCTGATTAGGGCTTCTTGGGGGCCTGATTTGGGCCTCTTGGGGGCCTCTTGGGGGCCCCCTGGAGGTTGTGGGAGCCTCTGTGGGCCTCTTGGGGCCTGATTTGGGCCTCTGTGGGCCTCTTGGGGGCCTCTTGGGGGCCTCTTAGGGGCCTGCTTTGGGCCTCTTGGGGGGCCTCCTGGAGGTTGCGTGGGGCCTCTGCGGGCCTTGCTGGCGGCCTCGGGGGCCAACTGTTCGCGCGCCCCCATGTGGAGCCCATCTTGGGCCCCTCTTGGGTCTTGGGGGGCCTCTTGGGCCGTCCTGGGGGCCTCTTGGGTGACCTTAGGGGCCGTCTTGGGGCGTCGAAGGCCAGAACAATGCGAGAGCGTTCAGATCGTGGAACCTTTTGAGGGCAGCCGAGCATGTTGGCACATCGGGGCCCTCTTGGGGGGGCCTCTTGGCGCCCTCTTGGGGCGTTATGGAGGCACCTTGGGCCGTCTGTGGCCCATCTTGGGCGTCTTGCGCTGTCGGGCCGTCTTCGTAGCCTCTGGCGCCCTCTGGGGCGCTTCCTGGGGCCCTGTTGACCCGTCTTAGGGGCCTTCTAGGCACCAGACGCAAACAATTATGATTTTCTTTATGCGGTTCCTTGTCGTCTCGCTCGAGAGCTCCGTGGGTGCCTTCTGCAGCTTCGTGAGGCCTGTTCGGCCGTCTCGGGTGCATCGTGTGGCCTTTTGGGGGGTGTTTATGCGTTGGTAGGCTAGTCTTTGGGCCGTCTGGTCGGGCCCCGAGTCCGTTGTCGAGCTCTCTTTGGGTGGGCCTGCCGATCTTTCCAAGGGGGGGGTCTTGGTACGGCTCGGTAGCAGGGGCACATGTCTAATCTTACCGTTGCATGTGTTGTCCAGGTGCTTCTCTTATTGGTATGTGTTTTCTCGCGGCTCCTGCGCGGTACACTTTACTCCCAAAATGGGGGTCGGAGGATACAACGCGCAGTTCGGAGTGTCAGGTATGATGTTCGGGGTGGCTTTCCACTGCCAGCATCGTTTTTTTGGGCCGCCCGGCACAAAGCTCGCAGGGCGGTCCTAACAGAAGACAGCCGCCGGTGGCAGGAAGCGGGCGACAGCAGCGCAGGACAGGTTCGAGCGAATGAGGTCGAGGCATCTGTCGCAAAATGCAAGTCATGCGTCGTGAGCGGTACTCTGGGCCTCCTAGATGGGGTCCGAGTGGACCGGGTCGGAGGATCGCGCCGCGTCGCCGATGCATCGGCGATGCGGCTCGATGTGGAGCCCAAGTTTCCCCACGCCGACGTCGCCGATGCGTCGCCGACGTCGCCGATGCATCGCCGGCGCATCGCCGATGCATCGCCGATGCATAGCCGATGTATCGGCGATGCGCCGCGATCCTCCGACCACATCTACTCCGACCCCATCTAGGAGGCCTCTAGTGAATGATGCATTCTTGAAGTGTGAGGTCAGACAGATCCGGGGGAGCATGCAACTGATAGCCTGCAATGGTGCCCCGTCGCATCTATCGGAGCGAATGGCGCCTTTATGCAGCCACACTCTGCTGTAGCAGTGCGACCGCGCCAGCTCGGTCTGGCGATCTTCACGAGTTTTTCTTGTAGTGGCGTCGCATGGCAAGTAAACGCAAGGGCTTGCCGTGCGACGGGGACAAAGCATGCTGATGAGGGCGGGGAGGACAAGGATAATGATGCTGATGAGGCGGAGGACGACGATATTGACGGC